TTTTTTTTTTTTTTTTTTTAACAACCCGAGCTAATGCCAGGTGTGCTGATAAGAGCAGGCACACTCGACATTGCCTGGAAAAGGTAGTGGTCGTTTACGCAGGTCATGAGTTTCAATTGCGCCGCCCCACCCACATCGTATGGCCCTTCCCACATGGTGCCACCACACCCACATCGTATCACAGAGGACCACATAATACCACCCAGCCAACAGGACTACCTACCTGTCGTTAAAAAAAAAGAAAAAGAAAAAAAAGGAAAAAAAAGAACACCTGGCCGTGCCAAGGGCTCAGTTGTGCCTTTCTACATCACCCTTCATGCACTTGGGTACCAACTGCACCATTTCCAAGCGCTGTCTGCATTGGCCAACCCCCGCAGGGGTGTCAAGCCACCCCTCCCAAATTTTACGACCCTCCCACCCCACCAGTCCACAGTACCACCCACCCCCCATAGTATCACCCAGCTAACATAATACCACCCACCCCCCATAGTACCACCTTTCAGTCCCGAGCGCTACATTGTGCCTAGCATTGGCCCACATATCCGTGCGAGTGTGCGTGTGTAGGTGTCTGTATGTGTATGTGTGTGTATGTGTGTGTTTGTGTGTGTTATAGATTTTCCCACAACAGCCCCAATTCCACCCAGATGAATAGATTCAGAATCAAAGCAGTCTTTGTCCTATTGCAGACAACGAGAGCATTTGAGATGAGACAGTCACAGTCCAACATATTGAAGCAATTTTATAATTAATAAATAATTATTAATTATTAATTAGACAGTTTTTGGGTTGTCCTTGGGGCACCCCTTTCATTGTTCTTGCAGATCCCCGATTACTATGCCTCTTACGCACAAGACTGCCCACGTTGATTGTGGTTGAGCGGCAGCTTCCCACATCGCCGTGTGCCTTCACGGCCCACTTGCACGTTATTTCAGGAGGCAGAGTAAAAGGGAAGGTATGCTCCTGTGCATTTCTCTTCAGAGCTTCATACTCCTGTTCATTTCACTTCAGATCTTCAGCTTATACAGTCTTTGTGTCCGTCCTTCATCTCCATACTTCGTTCATTTCATTTCTGATCTTCATATCGTCTGTACTCTTAACGATGCTCATTTGTATGTATTTGATAGTAGAACACAAAAGGGAGATTTGGGAGGGGAGGGTGGAAGGTAAGGGATAGAAGGCGGAGTTCTGTCGGAGTATGGGGCAGGGGAGGTAGGGGCGAAGGGAAGGAAGGAAAGAAAATATGTGAAGGGCGGGATAGAGTATGACATGCAAAGAGCAGGGGAGAGGTGTATGACGGGCTTCACAGATTTCTAAATATTCACCGCTGAAACAGACTACATTAGCAAAAAAAAAAAAAAAAAAAAAAAACCTGTGGTGAGTGGCCACCCCGACAGACCGGACAGGACCGGTTCGGGAGTGGAGTACGGAAGCAGCGCATCCAATTTTCGCAGCCACAGTTGCCGCATCGAATGGCACGGCGCAGACAGATGTCACAGGCTATGTGGCTCCTCTACCTGATAGGAACACAAAGGCACGTTGACCGCAATTATAGAGGCATTGCCATTCCAGCCCGTCTACAAATTGGACATGACATGTCGGAGTGCCGTACACGAGTACAGAACTGACTGTCATCGTACGTATGGAAGCAAAGACTCGCATGGACTATCCTTTCATAATCCTCACGGCACAAGGCATGCGAACCACATGCTAGTCGAATCTCCGGCGGGTCATCACAAAGCGGCATGGAGCATCTTTCTTGGGATTCCTCAGTATGTATTGTGCATGTGCCTATTTGTGTGCAAGTGGATGTGCGTGTCCGTGTGCATGTGCCTGTGTGTGTTTAAAAACAGTGTGTGTGTATGTGTGTCCAGGGCCATGTGCACTTTTGTTGTTTTAGTGGCTGTGTGTGTACCATCCAGCCCACACAGTGTGACCCACCCCACAAGATGCCGCCCGAATAAAACGCCCCGTAATTATCTCTGTATCTAGACTCAAAGTTGCCCCAAATACGGCTATACTGACCGGAGGTTCTACTTAGTACAGAATGAGGAGGAAGGTCATGCTAACCTGTCTGTGTATCTGTATGTGCGCAACTGTGCATTCTGTCTGTGTGTGTCTGTGTGCATGTGTCGTCGTCGTCTTCGCTACAAGGGCGCCGAAAGGGACAGACGTGTGTGTCTGTGTGCGTACACAACTCCCAAGAAAACAAAATATGGCTATACGTCTGTCTCTGCCACACTGTCTTTTTCCACACGTGCACCGACTCCACAGGAGGTTAAACCGCCACTGTCTTCGCAGGAAGCATTTGACTGACCGAGCACAACGTCACCCAGAGTTAGTGATACCCCTGAGAAAAGTGGCCGCGTTCGAACCTGGACAGACAGTCTGCCCAATGATGCATGCATGCATGTGTTGTCATATTCGCTATACGCTCAAAAAAACCGACGTCACCCAGAGTTAGTGATACCCCTGAGAAAAGTGGCCGCGTTCGAACCTGGACAGACAGTCTGCCCAATGATGCATGCATGCATGTGTTGTCATATTCGCTATACGCTCAAAAAAACCGACGTCACCCAGAGTTAGTGATACCCCTGAGAAAAGTGGCCGTGTTTCATTGGACTTTCACCAACTCATCACGAGGTTGAACCTGGACAGACAGTCTGCCTAGGATGGATTTGACTGACTGACGGATAAAGACTCGCCACGTCGTCCAGAGTTAGCGATCCCCACCCCTGAGAGAGAAAAGTGGTCATCTTTTCTCACACCAACCAACCGCGCAATCCTAGCAGACTGTCGGGGGTTCAAACCCCTGACAAGAACGGCAGTAAGTCTGAGAAACTAGTCTGGCACAGTCATAAAAGTGGTCCCCACTTTACACGCCTGAGAAAAGGGGCTCTCTCTCTCTCTCTCTCTCTCTCTCTCTCTCTCTCTCTCTCTCTCTCTCTCTCTCTCTCTCTCACACATTCTCTGTGTGTGTGTGTGTGTGTGTGTGTGTGTGTGTGTGCGTGTGTGCGTGTGTGCGTGTGTTGTGAGTGTCCACCACAACACAGCCCCTACTGCACCCAGACGAGTAGATTCGAGTTGAGCCAGGCCAACAATTAAATAATTTCACCTCTTTAGAAAGCAACATGAATCATAACAGAACCATTTTGAATTGTGTTTAGTTGGGGTTTCTTTGGGGCAACAGCTCCTCTTTTACTGTGCATCGCACGAACAAGGCTGCCCACATTGATTGTGGTTGAGCGGCAGCTGCCCACATACCCGTGTGGCTTAACGGCCCACTTGCGCGTTATAACAGCAGGCAGACTTAAAGGTAAGGTATGCTCCTGTGCATTTCTCTTCAGATCTTCATACTCTCTGTTCATTTCACTTCAGATCTTCAGCTTATACTCGGTCTTTGTGTCTGTCCTTCGTCTTCATACTCCGGTTCATTTCACTTCTGATCTTCATTATCGTCTGTTCTCTTAACGATGCTCATTTGTATGTATTTGCTAGTAGCACAAAAGGGGAGGGTGGGGGGAAGGGTGAAGGAAAGGGATAGAAAGCGGAGCTCTGGGGTTGGGGGAGGTGGAAAGGGCAAAGAGCAGGAGAGAAATATGTGAAGGGCAGGATAGAGTATGATATTCGAAGGGAAGGGGAGAGGTGTAATAGGTGTATGATGAACTTCGCAGAATTCTAAACACTCACCGCTGGTAGAGACTACTCTAGAATGGCACACGAGGTTAGTGTTAGTGTTTGGGTTGCTTAAAAAAAAAAAAAAAAAAAAAAGTGTTTGGGTTGCATAACACTTAGTTGAAGATCAGCTATTGCCTATGGTAAGTGGCCACCCCTACAGACCGGACAGGACCGGCTATCG